TAAAATATATGTTTGCATATAATAAAAATAGAAAAAGTTGACCACACCAAGGAAACGAGGATGACTGCGCAGCTTCAATTGCCCAACTGGGCAACTGAAGAAGAAGAACGCTGGCATATCTGACGTTGTTGACGTCTGTCCAATTTGATTGTTCACTTTGGAAACATTGAAGCTTTTTATAGGCACTCATAAAGCCTGTGGTAGAGAAGTTGCCGCCAAAGGCCAAAGAGTGAAGCGAAGGTGACGAGTGGCAGTTGAAGGAGTGAAAATTAAAAAAAATGCATATTTGTGGTGAAAACAAATGTAAAACGGTGGGAAGAACCAAATAAAATACTAAATATGAGCTTTAGTGTAGAAACTTGCGCTTTTGTAAATAAAAAGAAAAAATTTGAAAAAAAAAAATCAAATAATAAGGATAATTTTTTGTGAAAAAAAACAATTTTTTTTTAAATAAAACAATTAAAAAATATTTATCTCTAGCCGCAACTATGAGAGAAGCCACTCTTTGGCCAAACAATTTTTATTTCCTTAAGATCAGAAAAATAAATTAATTTAATTAAATAAAATAATGAAAATATATTTTTTCCACACACACTCACACACTGTACAGTTAGTTAAATGCCAAAAAGTTCACACAAATTCATTCACATGCCACACTTCCTAACCCCGCCTACTGCCAACTGCCGCCGCAGTCAACATATCGATCTCTCTCATTTTTGCCGCAATTAAAAAGCGTAAAATATTCAAGCGATTTAGCTAACAAATGATTGAATGAGTATTATAAAGTCAATAAAAAGAATTGGGAAAAAGAAATGAAAAAAAAGGAGAAACAAATATGTATGTAAAAAGTATTATCGAAGATTTCGTCTGGATTTCGTGCGTTTAATCGATTTTCTTGTTCGATGATATTTTCGCTTAAATACATCGCTATCCCGCTGTGCCATTTCTGTTGTTTTCGGCTTTCAGTTTTGTATTTCGTTGCTTTGAACATTTGTTTTTGTTTTTTTTGTTGCTTTTTTTTTGTTACGCTCTTTTTTGTAGTAAATTTTTTTTATGACTAAACTACTTTTTTACATATCAAAGGCAAACGGTGTTTTACTTCACTTTTTATTTTAACCAAATGTTGTTGTGGCTGTTGTTGTTCGCCACCCACTATAAAACATGGTTTCCATTTATTTAGCCTAAATGCTTGGCATTACTTTGTACAGCAGTTAACGCCAAGATAAAACCATTCAACAAAGCGGGCATTTATGAGATTTAGAGATTTATGAGTAGTGGTATAAATGTAAATACCTATGTTTGTATGTATATGTGTATGTAAATTTCTGCGCATGGGAGTTAATGTTGGATTTTCGAGGGTCGTGGCAGTGCACTTCACGCTCAACTCTGTTGGTTTGTATGTACATATGTTTGATTGTTCGTCTACTTGGTGGGATCCATTGTTAAGATGACTTTTCTACTTTTCTAATATTTCATTACCATAACAAATTAGTTGAGGTGCTGATGGCTATTTGTTGGTCCATAAATGGGTTGCTCCAAAAATCATGTATTTTAAGATTGTTTTTAAGGAATTTTATGGAGGAGAAGTGAGTGAATAAAAAAATAAGTGATATGAAATTTGAAAAAAATTTCCACATAAAAATACGTTTTCTTAAAAAAAAAAAATAATCTCATTGATAAAGTAATATTAGCGATATAAATTCAATAGAGGAAGTTAGTAGTGATACTCGATAAATTCGTCAAATATTAACAATTCGTCTGCCTATGACCATTTTTACTTACGAACAAATTTTCTTAAACGAAAAGCCGCTACAATTTCGAATTACCTCTGATAATTTTTTTTTTAATAATTTTTTTCCTTTGTAATTTTTGTTTTGTAAAAGCAAAAAAACATCTTTTCTCTTAAGAAATGGCTATATATTGAAATAAGCCATTATAAACCAATGGCAAGCGTAGCACGATTGTACCAAAAAAAGTGATGTTTTCATTGCTTAATAACATAGCACCTTCTGATAATTAAATCAAAAATTATTTCTTTATTAAGTAAACTACTGTTATACTTTTATACAACAAAAACAAAAGGTAGAAGAGACAGCTGTTTCGGAGATCAGCACATCTCCTCATCAGACTTCTTATGGCAGGGATCGAGCCAACGGATCCTGACTTAACAGGCGAGTGTTCTACCACTGCGCCAACATCAGCCTTATGATCTGTTGTTGTATTAATCAATTCATTATTAACCAACAACTATTAAGTGCGCTAATTTAGCCGCTATTTTCTTAACAGCTTGGTTAGTGTGTTGTGTTGGAATCCTCTATACTTTCAGGCGTTGACTGAAAAATGTATAGAAGGGAAACAGCTGTCACTTCTACCATCTTTTCTTTGTTGTATAACAAATATTCAATTCATACAGACAACAAGGTCTCGTAGTTTACTTAATAAAAAAAATTAATATATAGCATGGCCGCAAAAACAAATTACAAAAATTACTTCATTTATTTTAAGGTAAAATAAGATCAAATTTAGTTTTTAAAAAAATGTAGCGATTTTATTAGCTGACAACCAAAGATTCTCAACTAATGAAACGATGGCTTTTCAAAACGAATTGAAATTGTTCCTGCTGAAATCGCACAAATTTATTGTTAACGTTAATTTTAAAATGGCTGCTTGCCAAGATTTAACAGCAAACTTCCGTTTAACATTATCTGTAAGTGATTTAACATTACCTGTTAACGATGTAACATTAGCGTGAGCATTTCTTTTAGGGTAAAAACGAAATAAAATATATGTAACTGCTTTAATGACAGAAGGTTTGCTCCACAGATTTGACACCTTATGATATTTCTCCATTTTTAAGGCTGAAGACTCTTATATAATTAAAGGATTTGCTAAGATTGAAACATTAGAAATCTGTTAATGTGTTGAAGAAATAGCGCATAAATAAATAGCCTATCTAACAAATAATTCCCAATTTTCCTTACCAATAAAAGAAAAAAGTTAACCCAGTTACAGTATATAAATATTTCCGTTATTATCATTAGAATCTAATTGGAAATTGAATACTAACTAAAACTTATTTTCTAAACATCTCAATTATGAAAAATATATATACATATATATATATATACGAGTACAAGCATATATATTCTAAAGGAGTTAATATAATAGATTTTAAAATACAGATTTGCGGTAAAATTGAATATTTCTAATTAATTGATAAGTAGGATATCGAAAATGCAATTCTTTCATTGAAAATGCTGATTTTTTTTATTCGGCCCGCACTGTGAACCATAATATAATTATTAATTACTTTTGCCCTAAGTACACGTACTTATGACTAGAGGTTTTCTCGACCCCCACCTTCAAAAATAATTACGTTTTTTTATCAAATGATAATTTAACATGAAAGAAGTGCTGGCCGTGCCGAAGCCTCTCCTTTTCCTTCCTTTTGCAAACACATCAGATCATACATATATCATATGATATATTCCTGCGATTCCGATGATTTTCAGTGGAAATATTTTTTCATTATATGTGTGTTTCTTAGATGCCTTTTTTCATTGTAAGGAGTCTATCGATAAATGATCAATGCCTTACAAACATACACCAGCATACTAAGTTTTACAGATGGACAGTCGGACAGACAAAAATACAGTTAAACAGAGGGATATAGCTAAATAAACTCAGCTCATCAGTTTTGAAATCGTTGAAACGATTTTTAGCCGAGCTCTTACTCCTATATGTCGTATGTGTCTAGATGTTTTTCCAACAAATGTCACATATGATTCTCACAAATACACTCGAAGTGGTTGACTTTCTTTGCCAAAGGGTGATGACAATTAGAAAAATTAATTTAAGATGTTGCTCGAACCAGGACTCAAACCCTGGCCTGCAGAATAGCAGTTTGCAATGTTAACCATTTGGCTATTGGGACCACAAAGGTTGCAATATAAATTTTTATGAGTCTATCTCTTCTTTTTATGCTACTTACATATTTGTACAAGCAAATGGTATTTTAAATTCTGATTAATTTTTAATATAATTTTTTTTTTAATTTTCCATTTCGGTTTTCTTTATGCACATGCATAAGTACTTAGTACAGTAATAAAATAAATGTAAGGATGTAAATACAACCCTAATGAGACTTCATAATTACTCAGGTGTGGTGGCTTGCGGTGTCTTCAATCTCTCAACCAATTCACCAATATTTTTCAATCAATTTAAAATTATTATGAGTAAAATTGTAACTCTTCTAGAAAGCCGGCGGCTTTGCATAATTAAAAAAATTTTGGTTTATAGGAATTAATGTAAAGTCTATTACTTAATTACTATGTTTATGAATTTAATTATTTTTAAAAATTTTAGTTATTATTAAAGACCTTTTGCTTTTGGAGAATTAATTAATTTATTAATTAATATAATTTAATTCAATTCAACTTCATTTTATTTTACTCCATATTAACTCTACTGAGTTTTATTTAACTAAATATAACTTTATTCCATTACTTTTCATTTAATTTAATTTATTTCTATTTATTTTATTTTAATTTTAATGCTTAATTATTTTTATTTCCTTCATTTTATATTATTTAAGTTAATTGCATTTTTTTATTTTAAAAAATATAGTTTAATCTAAATTAATTTTTTCTATGTTTTTAATATAATTATTTTAATTTTTTTAGCTAATTTTGTTAAATTTCATTATATTACATTCATTCTTTTAATTAATTTAGTGCTTCATTTGTATTCTATTGTTTTATTGTATATATTTTATTTTTTCAATTTATTTATTCAATAATTTTATTTAATCTGATTTAATTTCATTATTTATTATGTCTTTTTGGTTTACGTTTAAATTTTATATAATTTTATTATTATTTTAATATTATTCAATTTCATTTCATATTTACATATTTTTTTTAATGCTAAACCACCAGATCAGAGTGCTTGAAGCTTGCTTGGCGTATAGCTTGTGACCTAATTCTAAGTAATTGACTTACCTTCATTTTAAGTGCCTCCACAATTTTGGCGGTTTTTAATCCCAGCGTGATAAGGAAGTTAAAAGTGTTGCCCTAAAGAAAGTCAGGGCTCTTTACTTTTACACTTGTGTATAATATGCGTTGATCGGCAATGCACCAACACATACACTAAATTTGTTATTATTTTTTCCTCTCCCACTTTCGTATCAATTCTTTAAAAACACATTTTCAATATATTTACACAGTTTTTGCATTTATATATGAGTGTAAGTAGTATTTAGCGCTTTTTCACAGCGTAGAGTTGCCATACATTCTATACAACATAAAATATTATTATTAATATTCAACAATACGTTTAATGTATTTAAATTCAATATTTATTGAGTGTATCGTTATTTCGGTAATAACTGAAATCTCTGCAGTAAAGTACACATTTTCCCATATACATACACATTTATTTATGTTAGTAATAAAATCAATAAAAATTATCGCCTGCACACACATTTAATTTAGCTCTTGATTAACATGTTCACCGCTGTATACATCATATGTTTGTATGTGTGTATATATGTCAAAGGGTTTTCCGCGAGCTTATCACTTACCGCCACAATTCATTATCAGTATTTAAGCAACCATGGCGAATGCCGACGGCAGGTGCATAACGACAGTGTGTGTATATTTTGAATAACGGTTTAGTGAATATCTCTTGATGTATGCATGTGAGTACATATGTATGTACATACTATATATTCGAATCAGCAAACATAAACAATTTATAAAATATATTTCTGAGGATAATACGTTCGCCGTGAGTATACAATACACGTAAGCGCTAATCGTAAAACTCGTTACAACAACGACAAATACGTCGATAAAATCTACGGCAAGACGACGGCACAGCACGTCAACACACCGCAAGACCGCACGATAAACTGAGCTGATGCCGCCATAAAGGCCGTATTGAGTGATGGTTGAGCGAGCCAAGCTGTGACGCTGACGCTGCTGCTGCTGCTGTTCGTGTTGCAGCAGATCGAGTTTCAAGACGAGTTCTTGAGTGCTCATCGTCGCTGGTAGAGTAGAGCACTTCAGTGAAAAAAAAATAAAATAACAGAGCGGAGCAATTTGATAGTGTGGCAGCCGGCAAGGTAAGCAGTAGTCACACATCGTGCAGCCGGCCAGTCAATGCATGAATATAAACACACACACACACACACACATACTGCATGAGCTTGTGAACGCAGGGGGCGCGAGTGTGCTAACGTATGGTTGAAAGTTTGTTTGCAACAATATAAGGGAGCAGAAAAATGTAACAAAACAAAATTGAAAAAAAACATATACATATATGTATGTGTGTACAAACGACAAACTGGCTACGAGGCATACCCACACAGCTTCCGCCATTGCAGCAACAACCACTACAATGCGTAACACACATATAAGCAAACAGCTAGTAGCGCTTTTAGCTCAGCAAATGTAATATATGTAAGTGTGTGTGTGTGTGTTTGTGTAACTACTGTATTTTCTTTTTATTTCAATTTTCCACTCATTCCTCTCTTAAGTTGTTCAGCGGTCCGTCCAACTGGTTTGAGTTGTATTCATTGCCTTAGGCACCCTGTATAGCAGAGTGTATGCCGGTTCTGGGGTATGGTGATTGGTTGCCATGGTGGCCAGCAGTGGTAACGCCCCTTAAATTACACAGCTGACAGGTATGTGTTTGTGTGCATGTGTGAGTATGTTGAGTGTTTTAAAAAATTTGTCTACAGACATTTGAGTGTTTGTGTTTGTGCGCATGCCTAATAAGTATCTACACTAATATTAGTGCATGTATGTGAATTAAGCATTTCTGTTCTCCCATTTTGAGTTTGAGTGGAAATAAAAATCACCAAAAGAGTAGAGCACTTCGAAATCCATAAGTTTGTCAGTGTGTAACATATGCGCCGGCGCGTGCCAAATGCCACTCTGCTTCCCAATAACAATGCCAACAGCAACAAAAGCAACATCAGCAGGTGGCGTTCAGTAACACACTTAGGCTGCAACTACCCAACGCGCGTACCAGCCGTCCATAGTAATCTATCTTATGAGAGCGCCATGTAAACACAAAGTTGTCACCGATTTACCATAGCGTTGCTGACGTTTGTGTCGCAGAAACCAACGAAGTTTTGATTTTTCCGTAAAACCGGCTCGGCTCATTTTTCGTTGCTATACAAGGTTGCCAGTATAGCCTTTCTTAAAGTAACATTAAATAATCGAAGATAATGCGTAGTTTTGTTCAAAAGAAATGAAAACTAAATGCGTAACTAATTATTTGTTACTATATAGATCATGTATATTTGCCTTGTGTTTATGTTAAAGCAAATAAATTATGAAATTCGTTGACGAAAATTATGAATTTGTTCAAAAGTGTGCAAACACACAGGCAGCTGGCAACATTTCGCCGCTCTCAGCGGCGTCGATAGCTCGTGTATGTATTTCACTACTAACGTCGTCAGTTATGGACGGCTGGAGAGTGAGTTGGGTAGTTGCAGCCTTAGCCGCTCGTAAGTGCCGGGTTTCGTGTGGTGTCTTCAACGCCCTCTTTCTTTCGTTCACTTAACTGTTAGCGCGAAGAGCAACGCTGTCTCACTGTAAAGTACGCGGCGCTGCCATTGAAGCGTGCGCTGAAATGAGTTAGCAATAGTTTTGTGGTGATAAGAGCGTAAATTTTTTCCTATCTTTGGTAAAAGCTCAATGAGGCGTAAGAAAATCCGCATAGCAATGGAGTCTGAACAGCGCAGATACAACTTTGGCTACACTGAGCTAGCAATGGCGCGCTTCTTCTTTACTTTCTCAGATAGTCATGTAAGTGCTTAGCTGGCAGTTGATAGTTTGCGAGATAATCGCAAGACACTAGAACGTGTGGAACTTGTTTTAATAACAAATCTTTATTTCTTACCTTAAGGCTTCAGAGTTTTTAATTCTTTTAAAGTTATTTCTAAAATCTTTTTATCGCAGCTCCACTTCTTAGAGTTAGTCCGATGGCTCCAAATAACTATAAAAAGTGTATTTGTATGTTAAGCGCCGCCCATGACACTCTCAGAAGTCACCAGAGTTTCCCTTAAGTATAACAGTCAATTTCTTAGATTAATTTTCTATTTTTTTTTTTAATTTTTAAAGCAAGCCCTCACCATTCTTTTACTTGTTGCCAGAAAGGGATGGTGGAGTGTTGCCGCTTTTTTTGTAACTCATCACATAGCCATTAGCTTGGGGGGGTTAAAGAGGTAACACTTTAAGCTCTCTGCTACATCCAATTCACCTACATAAATAGCATACTTGCGCGTAAACATGTACATATGTAGATGTGCGTGTGTATACAAATATGCTTTCATACAAGAGGGTCGGCATACTCTGCCCTACAATAAGACCGTCTTGGCAGCTTTGCACATTTTGTTGTGCCTACTTCTGCTGGCGTTTAACATGAGTTTAAGTGGCATTTGTCATTTTTAAGTACTTTTATGTTTTGTTTACATAGTGCTTATTGCTTCCTCTATACGGATATTTTGATGGCAGCAGTTAAGTATTTTTTAGCGGATTAACCGCAGTTATAGCTGACGGGTCTGTATGATCACATGAATTAATTAATTATTAATTTAATTTTTCTTTTTTCGTTTCCTTTAAATTTATAGAAATTAGTTGTTTTTATTTCATTTTATTTTATGTTATTTCATATTCAATCTATTTCAATTTATTTTTTTTAATTAGTATAATTTAGTTTTATTTTTTTATTTATTTTCATTTAGTTTAATTTATTTAATTTAGTTAGTTTTTATTTTATTTTGCTCCTGTTATCGATTAACTTTATTTCTTATTTTATTTTATTTTCTATCCTTTTTATTTACTTTATATTATTTTATGTAATTATATTTTTTGTAAATTTAATTCAAATAATATCTCTATTTAATTTAGTTTTTTATTGCTTTATTGTCTTGTTTTAAGCTATATTTAAGTTTATATATTTTTAATTTATATTGTTTTATTTTCTTACCTAACATTTTATTTTTTTCTGTTTATTTTATTTGTTTTTTTTTTAATTGATTTAATTTTATTTTATTTTGTTGTTGCCTCTTTTAATTTATTTATTTAATTTCACCTTCTTTAATTTATTTCATTTCCTTGTTTTACATATTTTGTTTTATTTATTTTATTTTATATTATTCCATTTTATTGTATTATCTTTTATTTTGTTTTTTTTTTTTGTAGTTTACTTAACTAAATTTGTTTTATTGTATATTGTTTTATTTCATCTCATTTTATATGTATATTTTTACTTTATTATACTTTACTTATTTTGTTTTATATTATTTTATTCGATTTTTTTATTTTATTTGTCTTTATTCCATATAATTTTATCTTATCACATTTTGTTTTATTTTTTAACTTATTTTAATTTCCTTTTTTTATTTTATTTATCTTTAAGTATTTTCTTTTGTTGTGTTTTATTTTTCTTCTTTTTTATTTTATTTTTATTTTTGCTTTTATTTTGTTTTCAATTTATTAAATTTATAAAATTAAATAAGTCTTATTTGCACTATTTGATTTTAATTTATATTATTATATTTTAATTCATATAATTTATTTTTTCTATTTATTTCGTTTTAATTTATTTACCTCATATTTAATTTAGTTTTATTTAACATTTTTTATGATATGTGACAAATAAAATCTATCTTTATATTAATTCATTTTTTTTTAATTCCCTGTTTATATTTTATTGTAATATAATTTATATATATTTTTTATTGTGTATTAATTTATTTTATTGTACTATAATTTTTACTTTTTTATTTAATATTTTTTTATTTTATTTCTTTATTGTATTTAATTTCATTTTTTTGTTTGTTCAATTTATTTTAAATTTTAATTTCATTTTCCTTGACTTTATTGTAAATTGTTCCATTTACTTCACTTTATTTAATTTTTTTTGTCTTTACTTTATTCAATTTTACTTTAACTTATTTATTTTTAATATAATTTATATTTTTTGTTTTATTGCATTTTATTCCATTTTTTCATTTTTTTCATTTTAGTTTATTTCTTTGTATTTAATTTAGTTTTATTTAAAACTTTATATGGTATTTGACTTTACATATATTTTTATTTTATTTTATATTAATTTCTATTATATTAATAATTATTTTATTTAAATTTAATTTAGTTTCAATATTTATTTTTTTTTGTGTTGTTTTTATTTATATCATATTAATTTTTTATTTAATGTTATTTTATTTTATTTCTTTAGTGTATTTAATTTAATTTTACTTAGCTTAATATTCTTCTATTTTAATATATTTTATTTTGTTTTAATTGGTTACATTTTATTTAATTTTTTTATTTTTTATTAATTTATTTTATTTTAGTTTTTTACTTTACTCTAATAGAACATAGAATACTATTTATTTCATGTCAATTTTAATTTAATTTAATTATATTTTTTTTATTATTGTATTTGATTTTTTTTTTAATTACTTGCTTTTTATTTTATTTAATTCTCTATTGCATATAATTTCATTTGGTTTCGTTCTATTTAATTTAATGTAACTTAATTTAGTATTATTTTATTTAACTTTGTAAATTTTTTATATTTTTCTTAGTTTATTTAATTTTAGGTTATATTAGGTAATTTTTATATGCTTTTATATTGTTTAACACACAATTTCCATTCATTCCTTCTCTTTATATCTAATAAAAATGCATCTTACCCAAAACTCTCCCAAGTTGCTACCTGTAAAATAAATATGTATCTTTATCATGTACTAAATTGATCTTAAATAAGATAGCATCGTGTGACCGGAAATTAAAATTTATGACGCTCAAACGAATAACTACCGCTCCAACCGCAGCAGCCAGACCAATTGACTATTGATTTTTATTT